AGTTAACCCGGGATTCATTCCCAGCCCTTCCCTTCCCTTCCCAGCGGCGCTCGTGTCCCCCGCGGCGCTCAGTGTCCCTCCATGGCTCAGCGTCCTCCCCACGGCTCGCTGTGTCCCCCTTGTCCTCGCTGTGTCCCCCCTGCTGCCGCCGCGACCTGGCTGGGGCCGGGGGTCCCGGGCCGCCCTCCCGCCGCCCCCGGCCCCGCCGCCCCCGGCCCCGAGCGGGGCCTCTCCCACAGGCACCTACCGGCCTCCGGCTCCCGGCGGCGGCTCCGGTACCTGCCGGCGGCGGGCGGGGCGGGGCGGGCGGCAGGGCGGGCCCGGGCCGCGCTGGGCCGGCCGGGGACGGGCAGGTCCTGCAGCCCCCGCCGGCCGCGCCACGCAGGGCCCGGGGCTGGGCCCGCTGCCCGGGTAGCTGCGGGGAGTCACTGCATGGGTTAAAGCATGGACCTTAAAGATCACCTTGTTCCAACCCCTGCCATGGGCAGGGACACCTTCCACCAGCCCAGGGTGCTCCAAGCCCCGTCCAACCTGGCCTTGGACACTTCCAGGGATGGGGCAGCCACAGCTTCTCTGGGCAACCTGTGCCAGGGCCTCACCACCCTCACAGGGAGGAATTTTTTTCATATATCTTAACCTAAATTTCCCCCTTCAGCTCAAAGCAGTTCCCCCTTGTCCTGTCACTCCAGGGCCTTGCCTGAAGTCCCTCTCCAGCTCTCTTGGAGCCCCTTTAGGCACTGGAAAGGCTCTGAGATCTCCCCAGAGAGACCTTCTCCAGGCTGAACAGCCCTGTCCTGTACATACCCCCTGCCCTTCAAGGTGTCCCAGCTCATGCCCTGAACTGCCCCACACGATGCCCTGCTCTGGTGCCATCCCAGCCCTCACAGGGTCCTGCCCATGCACTGACTTGCCCCATTGTGTTGTGCCCTACACAGTGTCCCACCTGTCCCCCGTGGTGCCACACCGTGTCCTGCCCTACACAGTGATATGTCCATGCCACGGCACCTGCTACTCCAGGACCTGGGAGCCTGGGGAAGCACAGAGGCACCTCTCTGGCTCCACGGGCTACAGCTTCAGGCTGGGGAATAATTAAAGAGCAATATTTTAACACCAGCCACAGGTGGTTTCAGTCACTTCTCACCTGCCCCTGGGGGTCCAGCTCTGAGATTTAGGTCTGTTGAGTCCCATCCTGCTCTGGCAGCTGTGCCTGGGAGGTGGGGTCACACCTGGAGCACACAGCCCCCAGCTCCCTAGCAGGGACAGCAGCATCCCTGGCAGGCTCCTCTTCTCCTCCCTTCCCTGTGCACAGCATGGCTGAGCTGCAGGTGACAGCGGTGCTGCCTCTCAGGCAGGCTGTCCTCATGGGACAGGATCCTGTAGGAGACATTGCCACAGCATGAGTTCAAGTTCAGACTCTGAGTGGGAAATGCTGTAGGTAACACCAGAAATACCTGCCTCGCTCGCACACTGCAGTGCAAAGGTGAGTTGTGGTGGCCTTGTGCCCCACTGTCTTCTCCACAGGCAGCACAGGACTGGCCCACAGCAAACCCAGCACTTCTTCACCCCTTGGCAGACCTGACAGCCCTGGGCCAGTCCCATCCCACATGTTGTGACCTTGGCTTTGAGCACAACCACAGAGCAAAGGGAAAAGGAGACAGCTCCTTCGGGACATTTGCCCCCTTTGCACATCTTTCACTTCAGTTTGGGGGAGCCTGCATCACTGATCAAACCCATATTCCTCAGGTCACAGACACGCTGCAGGAGATCACCACCACCATCTGCTCCCTGAATACCACTGCTGAAAGCTTCCAGCTGCAGCTCCTGAAGAATAATTTCCAGGAGGTGCATGCACAGAGCTGGGACAGTTACTGTAGGGCTCTTTGCAGAGTGGTTGGGCTCCCTGGGGACCTGCATGGATGGCAAGGGTGCATGGAGTAATAAAAATGAGGAACTTTGGCAAATCCTTATGGAAAATGCACTGAAGCCTCTCAGGGGCTGACCTGGCTGCAGTGACCTGCCTGGGTGAGCAACTGACCTCACAAGGTTCTTCTGGCAGGGTCCATGTCACCCTCCCAGCCACTGGAGCAGACATCCATCCCTGGGTATCCCACTGTCCCAGTTACCCCACTGCTCTTGTTGCTCCTGCAGTGCCAGGAGGATTTTGCCCTCTAGATTTTGAGGTCCTGGAAGACCCACAGGGCTGGAAATGGCACTGTGGTGGCAAGGTTTGGAGTCTCCCTACCCATCCCAGGGGCTGCCCAGGCTCTCCCCTCCTGGACCAGGGTGGAAGGGCTGATTTCCCTCCCAGTCACAGGTGGAGGTGCACAGGGAGCTGCACTGGAACCCTTTCTGTGGGATGCCCACTGGTGAGGTGCTGCAGGCTCCTGGGTGCCAGGCTCCTTTGCTGGCAATGCCCTGGGATGGCTGGGGCTCTTCTCTCTCCCCAGAACCTCAGGGGCTGTTTAGTTTCAGAAACTCTCTGGTTGGGAGCTTGGTCCTGAGGCCTCACAGGTACTGGCCCACAAATCCCCAGGCAGGCTGCGCTGGCTGCTGAAGCAGCACGAGGCCACAGGGACCTGTGTCGGCCACCTTGAGCACTGACACCTCTGTCACTCCAAGTTGCCATGCCAGGCTGTGCCACCAGACCTTTGCCAGGTGGATGGCAGGGCCACACTCAGCCAGCCCATCCAGGTCCCCGAGCCACTGCAGCCCCGTTGTCCCTCTGCCCCATGCATGGCTGTGCCCAGGGCCTGTCAGTAGTGCCAGGGGGTCTCCACACCGTAAAACCGCCTGGGTTTGGGGCAGTTGTGTGCTGGGGGCCTGCAGGAGCGAGCACTGTCTGGAGAAAGCTTTGGTGTGTGTTTTTAGCTGACTCAGCGACCTTGGAGGATGTGGCTGCCTGTCTGGAGAAGGTGCTGTGTGAGATGAAGCACCTGCAGGATGGAGAAGGTGCCCATCCCATGCCCAAGTGCCTGGGGGCTGCAACCCCCCGTCCCACTTACTGGGGACACACTGGGGCATCTCTCAGGATGTCCTCACTGGGGCCACTCTCTGGGGCCACCCATAAGCTCACCTCCCTGCCTTGCCTGGGTCCTGCAGCCTCCTTGTTTCACCCAGGGCTGTTTCCTCCCCAGGGGCTGGGTTTGGGCAGGGAGGTGCTGGGCCAGCTGCAGGAGCAGTGCACGAGTGCAGGAAGCTGTGGGGTGACACTGAGGACACCCAGGTGAGCACAGCCCGAGGCTCAGCTCAGGAGCCACTTGTGCCATGGCTGGTGCCTGAACCAGGCTCAGTCCAGGCTTGCCCAGACTTGGCACATCCCCACTCCAAAGCAGCTCAGCGTGCCAGGCTTTTGTGGCCATGCCATGCCGACAGAGCTGGGGATGAACAATGGTGGGCGGCTCCACGGAGGCAAAGGGGAGGGCTGGGGGAACACGTGGAGCCTGCGTGGGATGGTGGAGCACCCAGCCAGGAACAAGGTGCTGCTGGAGCAGGGCTTGGGTGTTGTGAACAAGCAAAGGCACACGGGGTGGTGGCAGGGCTGGGGCTCTGCAGGGGATGGCTGATTCCCTGTGCTAAGTGTCTGCTTCTCACACTGAAGCAATGAAGACCCTCCAGCCTCTCTCCTGGCACATCCTCAAACACAACAGCAACTACATTTTCCCATTCTCACGGCAATGTCTGTTGTGGGTGTGCCCTGGGCCACCAGCCCTGCCGTGTGGGCTCAGCCTGCTTGTAAGCACTCCTTGAAGGGCTCCCAGGGAACATCATGGAAGGGCTGTTTGTCCTTCTGCATTGCAGGAGATGCCATGTGGACAAGGACAGGCTCCTCAGGGGCTGGTGGCAAACTGCACAGGTGTCTGGGCTGGCCACAGGGCTGTTAAGATGTTGTGGGGAGCTGGGAGGGGCAGGTGCACCAGGGCTGTGCTGCCAGGCCTTGGGGACTGGTGGAGTTGGAGTCACACTGCCCTGGCAGCCACTCACCATCGTGGGCTAACAGTAGGGACCACAGAGATACTCTCTCCTGTGCTGCCTCTCCTGTGCCATCCCTGGGGACTCAGCAACCACAGTCTGACACTTCTGGGCTATGCCATGTCCCCGTGAGCAATCTCTGATCAGTCAGATGTCCAGGTCTCTGGTCTAGCACTTGATTTTCCAATCCTATGGCTCCTGGTGGCCCTGGACAGTCACAAGCAGCTTCCCCTCCCCACCACCCAGGTCTCCATGTGGCTTCACCTGTGTTTCACAGGCAGTTGTCTGCTTCTCTGTGTCCCCTGGATGGGCTCTGTGCACACCCCTGCCCCACAGACCATCCCCACTCCCAGAAGGACTCCACCCTGACCTCGAGGTGCTCAGGCCACCACAGCTGGGACACAAGGTGCACAGCCCTGGCTCGTTCCAGATGATACCATTCCATTCAGTGGGGCAGGACTGAAGGTGGCAGCTCCAGCACAACTCCATGCAGGGCAGCTCACAAGGGCCAGCCCCAGCTCCAGCCCTCACTCCCAGGCTCTGCCAAGGCTGTCCCTAGAGGCAGCCGGGGTGAAACCATCGCTCCTACACTGTTTATTTTAGCAACACAAATAAGAGATTCAAATTAATTATTGACTGGTGAGCGCAGAGGTGCAGGGGAACAGCCTTGCTGGGAGAGGGCACCGCAGGGACAGCGACCTCCGAGGGACCTGGCGAAGAGGGGAGAGGTCACAGCAAGGCACAGGGACCTGTGGGTGTCGCACAGGGAGCTGAGGGCTCAGCACAGCCCTGCCATCAGCCTGGGCTGGGTCTCTGCAGTCAGAGCTGGGCTGGTTCCTGCTGGGGCTGAGCCCTGGATGCGCTTGGCCAAAGGCAGCTGGTGTCACTGTGCTGCTGGAACGGGGTGTTTGGAGCAGCTGGAGGTGCAGCCAGCCCCACCTTGGACACACAAGAGCCACTGGGAGATGGGATCTGAAACACTCTGGGCCAGGGCAGCCTTCCCCTGCTGCGAACGAAGCAAAGACACCGGGTTCAAAGCAGAAGAGCGTGTATTGCAAGCGGCTGCGGCGCATCCGGAGAGACTTCCAGCCGCCGGGAGAAAGAACAGAGGAGTTAAAAATGATCCCAGTCTCTAGGGTTACACTGTGTCATGCAAAAGAGCCCTGGGGAGAACCCCATCCCAGGGGGTGGAGGGGAGGGTGTGCTGGCCCAGCCGGGCCACCGTGGCTCACCCCCTGCTCCCCATCAGGGGCTGGGTGAGGGGCCAGATGCCTCTCCAAGAGCCGGTGCTCCCTAGCCCTGCTCACCAGCGAGGATGGTGTGTGCAGGGTGGAGGCTGCGGTGGAGCAGGAACAACCCTTGCTCTCTCCACCCCTTACAAAAAACAAGCCTCGTGGGGTGTCTGCCCCCACCCAGTCGAGCGGGGCCAAGGGATGGGGGAGAAACACTCAGGCACAACCCACTCTGCCTAGTGGGGTGGCCCAGGGGACCCTGAAGAAGGGACCTCCTCTGTAAATGTCACTGGCATGCAAACTCCGGTGTCCCAAGAGAGGAGGGGGTGCTCCCTCCCGGAGAGTCTGGCAGCAGTGGGGTCCCAGGAGGAGGCTGGCACCGGTCCCACGCAGCCTCCCGCTGTCTCTGGGGAGCTCCATTCAGCTCGAGAACAAGTAAAAACTACTTCAAACCAAACCCATGCAAGGCAGCTATTTCTCTCGTGTGTCTCGGCGGCTGCCAGACGCCCTGGCAGCAGAGTTCCTCTCCTCTTTTGGGGAGGAAGGGGGGGAAGAAAAAAACAAACAAAAAAAAAAGAAAAAATATTTATATGCAGGGGTCCCTCCCCGCCGCGTTCGCTCTCGGCCGCGGCCTCATCTCTCTGCCTCCATGGTCACGTTGGCCTTCTGTTCGGCGGTGGCCTGCTGGGAGACGGCGGCGGGCCAGCCCGCGGGCTGCGCTGGCGCGGCCGGAGTCCACGTGCTCTGCTGCTGGCCAGGGGGAGAAGCCGTGGGCCAGGCGGGGTTGAAGGCCCCGTGCTGGGGCAGCGGCGGGGCCGGGGGCGGCGGGGAGGTCGCCATGGAGGCCACAGGGCTACTGCTGTTGAAGCTCTCGGAAGCCTTGAGGCGGGAGAACATGGTGAGGGCGTCGGGGAAGTTGGGCGGCGTGGCCGGCGTGTTGGCGGGAGTGCACATCTGCGGGAAGGAGACACGGGGTCAGGAGGGGGGGAATCTCTATCTTCTGCCTCCCACCGGGGCACACAGACCCCTGTGCCCCCACTGCTGTGGCACCAGCAGCCCCCAGACCCGCGCTCTGCTGACCATGCTGTTGTTTAAGTGTCTGAACTCTGATGCTGCGGTGAGAGCTCTTTCCAGAGGGCCCAGACAGTGCCCACTCCTGTACCCACCCAACTCAGGGACCCCCTCTGTTTCACAACCCACTGGTGCCACCCTGGGCCTGCAGCTGACTTGGTGGGCACCAGACTCAGGCCCAGCTCCCACCCCCCACGGGACTGGGCACTCTCTGGCCCTGCTGGGTGCTTGCTCTGCACGCCCCAAATCCCCAATTGTCCCGGAGAGTCAAACGAGGCCACAGCAGCCAGTAAATCCCTAAGACACATCTGCCCAAGCAGCTTACAGGCTGGCGGGGCACAAGAGCTGAGGGGCTGAGTCTGGGGACAGCTGGAAGTGCGCAGAGGCAGGCAGCACCCACGCTCTCCTGTGTTTACACACTTCCAGAGGCACGCTCCGGTGAGGCTCCAGGGATTTGCACGCTCCAGGGAGCACACGAGGACTCGTGTGTGGCTGCTGCTCAGTGGGAAACACCACGTATCCGTGTGTGTGTTTACACAGGTCAGTGCTTCAGGCTCCTCCATGCTCTCTCCCCCATGCTGGGGCTGGTATGGACCACTGGCCATGCCCAAAACATTCTCCATCAGCCCATCCCTCTTGAAGGTACAGCCGCAACCCCTCTGCAGGGCTCTGAGGGCACTCCCAGCCCTGCTGGCCCACTTTGTAGCACCAGCTGCTCTCCAGGAAAACCTCCCTTGGCAGGCAGCTCTGGCAGTGCCCACTCAGACTTCCCTGCCTGCACTCCTGGGGCTGGGGAGCAGCGAGCTGGACATGAACACCAGGCTGAAGCGCCCGCCAGCTGGTGCTGCGCCCTGGGGAGCTGTGAAACCACTTACCATCTGATGGTGGTGGCTGTAGGGGATGTTTGTTTCTTGGAAAAAAGCACTGAGAGCAGTCTGCAAGCAAGAAGAAAGGGAAGACGATGTTACTACCAGCACGCAAACTGGGTACCCACCCATACAGCGGCAGGGCTTTGACAGACCCCAAAGATGATCCAAAAAACAGACCCTGGGGGGGCTGACCATGCCCACAGCCCCTGCCTGCACAGGAGGGTGCTGGGCACAGCTGCTCCCTGTCCCCAGGCAGGGACCCACGCCTGCCATCTGCTCGCACCAGGGCAGGTGACAGCCACATGTATTTGGGACCACCATCCTCACTGAGCAGCAGCTACTGCTGGAGGAGACCCTGGCAGGCATTTCACAACTCACAGCCATGCTCTGCCACCACTGCGTGCAGGGAGAGGAGGGAAACCAAACCCAACCTCAGCAGGAACCAGTCAGATGTGTGTCCTTAACAGAACATGATCATAGTCACTATTCCCACCAGGACATGCCCAGGGATGCAGCAAGTGCCCACCCCACACACCAGAGCACTTCCAATTCGGTCACAGGCAGGGCATGGTGATCACTGACATTGTCCTGGTTGGCTTCCAGTTAAAACCAGTAACAGTCTGGTAAATATGTCACATGCCACAGGCACGTGAGAGCACAAGGAGGGCTGCAGGGATGGAAGGCTGGAGGAACAGCACGGCCAGGAGGGCACACACCCAGCCCAGGTCTGGGAGGAGTGGAGGCATCAGGAGCTTTGGGGGGTGCACAGGACTGAACTGACAGAGGAACAGTGGGAGAAGTTCTTCACTCAGAGGGTGGTGAGGCCCTGGCATGGGTTGCCTATGGAAGCTGTGGCTGCCCCATCCCTGGAAGTGTTCAAGGCCAGGATGGGGTTTGGAACAACACAGTCTAAAGGAAGGTGTCCCTGCCCACAGCAGGGGGTTAGAACAAGATAATCTTCAAGGTCCTTTCCAACCCAAACTATTCTGTGATTCCACGTTAGTGAAGCTGACTCCTGTCCTGTGCCAGGTTTTAACCAAGTCAGGGCTAGAAAACAATGTTTTGATTCAGTTGCAGATCAGACTTGATGGAGAACTGGTTTGGATTCAGTTCTGGTTGGAGGAAAAGCCCCCATGTGTCCCATTCAGCCCTCTCCCCACGGCCTGCAGCTCTGTAAGGCAAAGTGTGAGGAGCAGGGCTGGGGCTGGGTGCTGCCACACCATCCCAGACTTTGTTCCCTTCCTACAAGCCAGAGACTGGGGTTACCCAAGCTGCTGGGAAAAAAAATAAAAAAAAAAAAGGCAGAAAAGCCTGGAAAAAGGAGAGGGAGGTTGTACCAAACCCTACCCAACTGCAGCAGCCACAATCCTACCACCACACATGCTCCTCGTCCTGGTGCCCACATGCTCGCTCCTGTGTCATTCCCAGGGCTGGGATAAATGACAGCGAGTCAGCTCAGCTCACTGATCCAATGGAAAACTAATTCTGCCCCCAACACCCAGGCTGGCAGGCCTTGGGAAGGCAAAGGGTTTTATGGTTTCCTGGCTACAACAGCAGAAAACTATTGGCACGACCAGGTGGCAGCCAGAGCAGTATCTGCAAACAATGATCCAGACCTGGGTGGGGGAAGCAATTCCTGCAGCACAGTCTGGCAGCTCCCAAACCTTGGGGGGAGCGTGCAAGAGCTGGGCTGGCAAGGCTCTTCTCTGCAATAGCTGCATTTAATAACACACCCCCTGAATCCCAGGCTGGGAATTCAGAGCCCTCAGCACCCGCAGGCAGGACCTGCTGGATCCCAGCGGTGGCCATACAGCAGGAATAGGGTCTGTGAGCCCAGAGAGAGCTCTGAACAGGTCAGTACATGTGTTAGAATCAAGGAAATGTCCCACAGACACTCCTGAGGCAGAGACACCCCCATCACTGCTCTACCCTTCGTCCTGGGTGAGGTCTGATGTCAACACCCACAGGCCCTATCGCTCCGACAGGTCCTGATAAGAAAGGGGGGAACAGCGAACGGGAAGCACAGGCAGAGGTGTGGCTGATTAAATCTGCTCTGTGCTTCTGTTTTCCAAGTGGTCTCGTATCTTGGACTGTGCCACTGGCAGACAGGGCAGAGCAGGTCCCTGCTGTCCCCCTGAGCTGCCCACCGATCCCTGCCAGTGCTGGGATGGCAGCTGGGACTGGGCAGAGGAAACACTCCACCAGTGCAGGTCCCTCTGCCTAAAAGAGCGTCCCCTCCCATCCATCTGCCCCTTTCCAAGCATGGCAGGAGCAACCCCTCTGCCCAGCACAACACCCACCTCCCAAAGGACCTGCAGAGCCCCAGCCCCGTGGGCGAGGGACCCGCTCCCACCCCCGGGTGTGTGCCAGGGACACAGATGTAACCAAAGCTGCTGGTGCCACCTGGTCTCCAGCCAGCGTCACAAGTGCCGTGGTGACTGGTGCAACAGCAAAGCCAATTAATAAGGCTTCTCTGCTTGAGGAGCCCGAGCCCAGCTCAGCCCCTGTCTCCTGTGTCACCCTGGTGCGAGTGGGAGTGGGGCAGCCCCGCACCCATGGCCTGGCCACACTCAGCAGGTGACCAGGCCACTGTACCCGCCCCAGGATGCAAAACCAGGAGCTTCACGGGAGGTGGATCACAGAGGGACCCTGCTAGGGTGCTAAGAGTGGTGACCCAGTCAGAGAGAGGGGGGCTGAAGGTGTGTGCTGTACCTGCTGCCAGCACAGGGGGCCCAGCAGCCCCGGTGCTGCAGCAGCCCTGGGAGCACCCTGTCCTTGAGCCACAAAGGAAGGGGCTTCACAAGACATAAATACATAAAGAGGAAGTGGAAATCCAACCATGGGCACAGCAAGCAGAGCCAGACACCTGCTCCTCCTCTCGTTCCCCACACACAAGCTCACTACACTGAACAGACACACTTAGCACCAGGGAAAGGAAGGAAAGGGTGCTTTTATAAAAGCAGATTTCATCTTATCCTTCCCAAGCAGCCCCAGGGGACACGAGCACATAACAAAGCTGAACTTCTGCCTGAGAAGGAGCCTGATCCAGTGCTCAGCCCCATGTGAGACTCTGCAAACTCTGCCTGGCAGCCTGCTGGGTTCCAGCCATGGAGGAGGTACCTGCTGCTCTCTCTGGCTTCTCCCAAAAAGCCAGCACCCGCAGCCCTGGAGGGGCCAGAGACACTCCAAGCTGCTTCCTCTGGCCTGTAAACCTCCCCCTGTGACCAGCCATGGCACTGCTCCAGCTGCTGGAGGGCTGGGCTGGCACTGCCATTCTGGCTGGCACCCACGGCCGCTGCAAGGGCTGCAAACTACACCAGGCATGACAAGGAAACCCCTGCCCAGGGTCCCCAGGAAACAGGACTGGAGTCATAGCGAGTGGGAGAGGTGATCCACTGCCCCATTCCCCAGGGATGGATGGATGCAAAACAAATGGCTCCCTGGTTAAGCCCCTGAACTCGGTACAGGCTCCAATCAGCTCACACTATAACGTGTGTGCATCCAAATGTGGCTGCATCCCAAACGTTTTCCTGAGCTCCTGCCCTGCTCACTGTCCTGGATGATGTTCCTTCGCCCCAAACTCCAAGCAGGCAGGACATCACATGCAGCAAAACCCTTCTGCAGCCCCCACTGCATCCTCCTCCACACACAAGGGCCCATGGGCAGCCCCAAAGCAGCAAAAGCCCAGGAAAGTGGTCCCAAAACACCCGCATCCCGAAGCTGTCCGTGTTTCACAGCAGCCTCACTCTCCCCCCTGCCCATGACCGACACCCAGGGGCTGCCACAGGCAGGGAAGGTCCTGGGCAGGGCAGATGGGTGCCAGGAGTGCCCTGGCCAGGACAGAGACCTGGGAGAACCCAACTCCTGCCGTTGTGCCACTGAGCCCCCCTCATCCCCCCTGCACAGAACACCTCTGCCCAGGATGGTCTTACAGGCAGAACCAACACCCTCAAGGTACAAGCAGGCTGATCCAATTCACACCGTGCCTCTGAAGCAGCACTTTGGCTCGCAAAACACTGTTAATTTACACCACCGAACTCGCCTGAACTCCACCAATTTAAACACACTGCGGACACACACCAGCCAGCAGACGGGTGCTGCACCAGAATAACAAAAGCAACGCGGGCAAGAGGTGGGAGCAGGCAGGAGTGGTCGGGAGGTGCTCCCTCCCCAGCGTGGCTCCCAGAAGGAGCCGTGCCCAGCGGCCATTTTGCAAAGGGAATTATCTGACCGTTGCACCAAAAGTGAGTGGGAACATGGTAACGGCTCGTCGTCGCAGCGTTTGTTTACAGCCCAGCTTCCTCTGAGTCATGTGAGTGCCCAGCCGGCAGGAGACGGCTGTTTGTACTTGTGCAACTCGCCAAACGGTGGCAAAGTTCTGCAAAAAAGAGCCTTTCGATAGGAAAGTTAAAAAACTTTTGTCATCCCCTCCCCAGCTCTTTTGCGACAGCGCACGGAGGTGGTGGAAGCGCCTGTCCCAGAGGGCCGCACAGCCAGCCTGTGTTAGTAAACAAACCCCAGAGCACGCCACACACGCAGCACACCCCACGCCACGGGGCTCCCGGCAGCGGGACGCGGTGGAGGGCAGCGTGGCAAGGCCACCCCGGCATCCCCGCAAACCCACCCCGCGCTCCCCGGACACGCACGGCTCGGCTTGCAACGCCTGACCGAGCACCCGGGAATCCCGAGGCCGTTCCCGATCCATCCGGCAGCCGCTCCCTTAGGGAACAGCTTCCCGAACGCCGTCCAGGAGCCCGGCGCCCACCCGGGTGGGGGGAGGGCTGCGGCCGCAGGGATGGCACAGCCGGAGCCTCCCGCTCCCCGGCCTGGCTCGGACCCGCTCCCGCATCGCAGCGCACACACCTCAATTACCGAGGTGCCATCAGCGTCAGAGCCACCAGCTCCAGCCTGGGGAGCTGCCGGGGCCGCGGCACGAGAGGAAAAATCCCATTTAGACAGCGATTTGCCGGCGACAGCCACCACACACACCTCTTTGCTCCTTTGCACTTCAGCTCTGGGGGCTCAGAGCGCCCCAAAAGAGCCCCCCCACCCCGCGCCCCCCGCCCGGCGTTCACCCCTGTCAATGTCACGGAGTATCCCACCCGCGGGCGAGGCGAAAAAAAGGCGTCTGGGAGCCAGAAAAGCGTTGACCTACAAAGTCTCCTCTCCCACGGCCGCCCGAGGTGCTCAAAACTCCCCGGGGCAGGGCCGTGGGAAAGGCTGCGCGGGGCTCTCACAGCCCACGGCCACGCGGGAGGGGCTGTGAGGGCTGAGGCGGGGGGGACAAGAGGAAGGTTCGGCTCCCCCGGTCCGGCGGGGCTGCCCCCCCAGCCTCCCCCCGCGCAACGTGGACCCGCTCCCCCCGCCCCGCGTGGCGCCCACGGGGAGCCCGGCGCGGCCCCGCCGCGCGTGGGCGAGCGGAGAGGGGGAGAAGCAGCGCGTCCACGCCGCCCGAATTCCGCCCCCACCACCCCGTCCGACCCACGCGGGGGCCCCGCCCGGGGCCGGCACCGGGGCGGCGGCCTCACCTCGAACTGCCAGTGGGCCGCCTGCAGCAGCTGCTTGGCCTGGTCGGCGGCGCACCCGGCCGCCAGCACGAACTGGTTGATCATCACCTGGTGCTTGAGCTCGTCCATGGCCGCGGCCCCCGCGGCCCCCGCCGCCCTCAGGGCGCCGCCAGCACGGCGGGGCCGGCGGCTCACGCCAATGTTTACCGGGCACTGACTCACGGCGCCCGCCCCGGCCCCGCCCACGCCCGCCGGGGGGGCGGGGCCGCCGCGGCCCGGCCCGCGCGGCGCCGCCTGGGGCTTGCAGTCCGCGCCCCCCCTCCCGCCGCGCCGCCCTCCCCCCGCGCGGACCACAACTCCCGGCACGCCCCGCTCTGTTTGCCGAGCCGCCGGCGCGCGCTGAGTGACGCGCGGGGCCGGCCAATCGGCTCCCGCGGCCCCGCCGTACCTGACCGTATATGGTCAACAACGGCGCGGCGCCCAATGGCGGGGCGGCGGGGCGGGCGCCGCGCGCGAGGCGAGGCGGGGCCCGGCGGTCACGTGGGCGCGGGCGGTGTTTACAGTCGGGTCGCGTGCGGGTTCCCGTGGACGGGCGGGACCGGCGGGGACGGGGGCATGGGACGGGGAGCGGGAGCGATGGGGAGCGGGGCCGCTGCTAACCCCTTCAGCCCCGCACCGCCAACGTGTCCCCCCCGCGGCTCTGCCGGAAGCCCCTTGTTGTCTCGCAGCTCCCGCACAGCCCCCGCCGGGGCCTGAGATGCTGGAGCAGCATCTTGCTTGGGCCCCGCGCCCTCCCGCAGCGCCAGTAAACCGCGGTGGGGGGGGGGTGCTCCAGACCCTGCTGGTCCCGTTTTTCCCTCAGCCGCAGCACCTCCGTGCACTCCACTGCCTCCTGAAGCGAGAGGCGGCAGCCGGGGAAGGTTCTGGAAGGTGCTGGGGGTGCTCCCGGCCCCGTGAAAGGCTCCTTTGAGAGGAGATGAAAGCTCGGGGCGCTGGAGGGCGGACAATGGTGTTGCTGGGGATAAGCAGGCACAGACACGCGCCTGTGGGGAGGAAAGCCAGGGAAGAGCAAGGGAAAAGACTCAGGAAGCGCTGGCTCCGCGAGGCTTGTTCAGACCGCCGGTCCCCTCCGTGTTTGCCGAGGCTGTCTCCTGCTGTCTGGAGAGGTTTATCCTCACCACCAGGGGTTTGTTCGCTGACACCCCTGTCCCCAGACAGCGTTTGGGCGCAGCCACAGGTGTTTCTGAGCCGTGAGGATTAAACGGCTGAAGCTCAGGCGGGTCATGCATTTGGCTGGTGAGGTTCTGCAGCCTCCGCTGGGGGGGCAGGAATTGCTCCGGGATTGTCCGAAGCTGGTCACCATCTTCCACGTGTCCTTTAGTAACCAGAGCACCCCAGGGCTTGGAGAATTGGAGAATTCCGGGGCCAAGGGGTTTTCCTCCTCCTTCTATGTGTGTCACTGCCCAAATCCAGGTGAGAGCTCAGCTGTACAGTGGTGGCAGTGGGACACAGCCAGACATGACAGGTCATTTTTCCAAGGAGACAACCCCTGGAGAGAAGCAGCAAGGGGAGATCTGTAGCCAGCACGGTGTAAATGCAGCTGGAAAAACAAATCTCCTGAAGGATTATTTTAATCGGAAAGAATCAGAAACTTTAAGAAACCTTGCAGTTGGGTGTTTGAAGGGAGAAGGGCTGGGCCTGGCCCAGCGGGGCTTTCCAGGGAGGGTTGGAAGCCCTTTGGAGCAGGGCAGTGTTTAGGGAGGCAAAGTTCACAGGCTCCCTACTCCTTCTGGTGAGGATGACCTGTGTGTGGCCTCCAGGGCTCCTGAGCCTTGTTGTGCCTGACAAACAAAGTGAGTGACAGCTCTGGGCAGGGGACAACTGATACAAAGCAATTTGCTTCGGTGGGTAATAAACCCCTGGGCAGCTGGACTTTGGATGAGCTGCTCCGGTGACTGGGAGGTTTGCTGGGAAACAGATTTCCCTGTTTACACAAGTGTGCTTGTAGCTGCCTCCCCAGCAGAGGTGTCCAAGGAGACTCCTGAAGGGCAGGTGGTGGTGGCTGGAGAAACCTGTGGCAGTGAGAGGGTGGGCACCCCCCCAGCCCCTCTGCTTCCTCACCAGGCTCTGTGGAAGGGTTTGAAGGATCCCTCCTCTATCCTGCTGCTCTCCTCCAGGTTGTGCTGGAGAATGGATCCAGGCTCATCTTTTGCTGGATGAGATTTTGCCAAGGTGGAGGGCAGTGCAGGAGCTGAGGTCTCCTCCCCACCCCTGGGACTCTGCAGGGTCCCAATGGGAAGGAGCCCTGGCCCAGTTTCACCCTGGTCCTCCCCAGCTTGACCGCTCTCACCCCACACCATGGTGGCACCTGGAGTCTCAGGCTACCTTGTGGAAGTCTTTTCATCCCTCTGTCCTGGAGGGCCTTCCATCTTCATGGCCCTGCTCCCTCTCCATCCTCAGCACGGAGCAGGCAGAACCCTGGGCTGGCAGCACCAAAACAGGGACAAATACAGTCTCAGGGACCCCAGAGCTGAAGGTGCAAAAAACACACTGGGCTGGCAAAACCCACCAGGGTTTGTGGGGCTATTGCTGCTTCTTGCAGCTGCAACATCTCCCTGGGCTGGGGGGCTGCTCCTCCAGCCCACAGGACCCGCCCGTGGTGCTGCGGGACCCCAGGAGGGGTCTGGGAGGGCATCCCCGCTCCCGGCCCCAGGGCTCCCTCTCCCTTTTCCCTGCTGCTGGCAGTGGCCCCTGCGAGGGACAGAGGAGGCAGTGGTGCAATATCCTGCCTTTGTGTGTGCCCGAGGGCCGGGCTGGGGCACGGCAGCTGCGGCTGCTGGAGGTGCTGCCCTTCAGCTCGGCTCGCTCCGGGATTTGGGGCGGAAGGGCTGAGCCCGGCCCTGGCACAGCGCTGCTATTGTCGTTGTCTGTCACACTCATCTCACGGAGCAGGGCCCCGCAGGGGATGTTCTCCAGCGAAAGCCCCTTCCTTCCCAGATGGCAACAATGCCCTCGGGGCCCTACGGCTTTCTCAGGAGCGGCCGGGAGGGACCTTCCCGCTGGAACAAAACCCTCCTGCCGCAGCTTCCCGGGCAGAGGCGACACCCCCACAGCCCAGTGCTGCGGGACCTGGCTCTGCTCTTGGCGTCCCTGCTTAACCCATGTGGCTCCTGGTGAGCAGCTGCAGAGAGAACAGGGCTGGGGGTTGGAACTAAGTGATCTTTGAGGTCCCTTCCAACCCAACACGTTCCAGGATTCTGTGATCCTGTCCCCCAAAAAGCTCACTGGGTGCCTCACTGGGCTGGGGAAGAGCAGGATGCTGGTGGTGCTCAGGATGTGGGAGGGAAGGGTGAAGGACCCTCTCATCTTCTGTCCCTGTGCAAATTCCGATCCTTGCCTTGCCTCATGGTGCAAACACGGCTCAGCTTTGCCCCCAAGCTTGTGGCCAGCTGGCAAACAGACCCCAGCATGGCATGGGAAGATAGAGATCCTTGCTGGGCTGGATCTGCTCCAGCACTGAGCCCCAAATCAGCTGCAGAGCGAGGCCTTGGGGGGTTATGGATTCACCCTTCTGGGCTGGGGCTGCTGGTGGCACACAAGCTGTTCCTATCACCCCACTGCTGCCAGAGGGCTTGTTGCCATCCCTGAGGAGCATCACTGGTGGCTGTGCAGGCACAGAGCAGCCAGACAAACTCCAGGCTGGCACACACCGTGAGGGTCAGCAGACTCCATCCTTCACTCCATCCCTCCCCTCCCTCTCCGTGCAACTTCTGTCACGAGAAACCCTTGCAGGGAGAGGCTGGTTGAGCAAGAGGGGCTGTCACTCTGGGTGCCAGCAGGATCCTGGGGGACACAGGAGGCAGCACTCCGGCCCAATTGCTGCCAAGGCTCCCCTGTGCCAGGTGCAGGGTAACCCGGCTTTCATGGCTGGCCAGCAGGAGTGGTTGCTAATTCCATGCTTTTCCCTGTCCTTCCCAACCCTGCTGCACAATGGGATGCAGCAGAGTGAGGTCTGGTCCTGCTCTGTGCTCACCCCTGGCACCCATTCCCCTCACGTCCTGTGCCCCATAGGGCTCCTTGTACTGGCCATACTCGGGGTGGCCTCAGCAGCTGCAAGGGTAATAATTGTCTGGAAGCACATTTCCCTTCAGGGTTGTTTGCTTATTCCCACTGGGTGTGTTTTAGTTTGTGTTTACAGCCATCAAATTCCACCCACCGCCCGCTCAGCCGCTATCACAAAATACTCCGGTGCTGGCAGGCTCTGCTCCCTGCCCCTCCCTCTCCCTGTGTCCCAGCCCCCTTTTCCTGCTATTCCCCTGCTCCTGAGGCCAATTGAAGACCTTTCACATGTGCCATCCCAGCTCCTTCATGTCTCCCTGGGCTTTCGAATTTGGGTCCCCAGTTCTTGTGCAGGAAGGTGCCTCCCTTCACAAGCCGAGCCTGGGCAGCTTATCCCTGCTCCCCGGTGCCAGAGGGGACAGGACTCGCTGTTGGGACATCAGTGGCTCTTTGGTGCCTCTTCCTCCATGCCATCCTCCGGGATGGTGTGTCAGCCCAGTCATCCCCAGCTCTCACATCCAGGCCTCAGACACCTCTGTTTTCTTTCCTGCATGGGTTATCTGGCAGGGGAGGAACACAGGAGAGGTTTCCCCTGGGAATGTCACAGTCTTGCAGCTTGGGAGGCTGATCGCCTCTTCTCCTGCTGGCTTTGAGCCTCAGCCAGGAGCGGGTCCCACCTCTGGGAACTGGCCTGGATAGTGGATTCCCATGCCAAACTTCCCAGGAGGAACATGGGTACCCCAGCTGGCCCACGGGATCTGCAGGCTCCGTGCACGCCTCCATCCCAGCATGGACACTCTGTGCATCCCTGTGCAGGATGTGTCCCCGGGCATCCCTCTGCAGGGTGTGTCTCCCTGGGCATCCTCCTTGTGCAGGATGTGTCCCTGGGCATCTCCCATGGGCATCCCCCCCATGCATCCCTGTGCAAGCTCCCTGGGCATCCACCTTCACTCTGCATCCCTGTACAGAATGTGTCCTTGAGCATCCTCCCTGTGCATCCCTGGGCAAGATCCCAAGGGATCCCCATCCAAGGTGTGTCCCTGGTATTCTCTGTGCCCATCCCTGGGTCCATCCCTGTGTCCATCCCCATCCAGGGTGCCCTGTGCTCATCCCCAGGGGCCCTCCTGTTCCCCATTCCCACCCCCATTCCCATCCCATTCCCACTCCAGTTCCCATTCCCACACCTAGCCCATCCCATCCCATCCCATCCCATCCCATCCCATCCCATCCCATCCCATCCCATCCCATCCCATCCCATCC